TCATCTTCCCCAAAACCCCAAAACCCCGAGTTGCTGAATTAATGGGAAATTGATTGATAATTTTAACTTATAATAATTAAAGGAATTTTAAATGGATAATTCATAGTTGCAATTATTGAAAAGTGACTATGAGTATTTGTCTCCTCCGGTTTTAGTCCAAGATGAGGAAGATGACTCTCATAGGCCGCTTAATCAGCATAGGAATTAAATCAGTGCAGTAAATTATTCACTCAATAAGGGTAGGATATTATCTGAAAAAATTCATGAAATTTAGGTAGCTACAAAAGCCCGAATATATTGACTTAAAATCAAGATTACTTCAAAATCAATAGTGCTATTCCTAGTTCTAGAACTGATGAAGAGTCTACAAGAGAACTAACAAGAGTAAATTTAGATAAAATAGGCAAAGATAATCTCATCAAGATTGCCCAGCTTAGAAAACGATTCGATGGATGTCAAGATGCAATTTTAGGTACTCTCAATTCTATTAATAATTCATCTAATTTACTAGAATATCAGAAAAAAATGGCAGAGAATTAGGTTAGGGTAGACAAAGCTATTGAAACTTATAATGCTATCTTGTAATAATTTAACGCCTGTTTTATAACATCTATCATAGATAGTAGAAAGAAGTTTATAAATCAAAACTTTATGAAATAAAAAAAGAAAACTTAAAGGTTGTGAGAAAAACTGAAAATGTAAATGAGGAAATTAAAGAATTAGAAGAGGCTTTAAAGAGTGGTCTAGAAGTTGCGAGTAAGTTTAATTTTATCGAATTACTTTTAGAAAATGGAATGGGAGGCTATGGCGGCTATGGATTGTAAAGAAACAATAAATATGGCAACATAGATGAAGCAACCAGATTAGAAAGAGAAAAAATGAAAAAAAATCTTTACGTTGGAGTTGATTATATTGGAGACGAGGACATTAGACTGAATAGTGATGTAAAACATAAATCTAAATGGGAGATTATCAAAGAAAAAATGAGTAGATTTATTGAAAGAATATCTCCTCTAAGAGCTGACATACACTATATTGAGGCAAGATATGATAAATCAATCACTAACTTTTTTGTGTTTTTTAAGTTCATCTATTACATGAGCATCTTATCCTTCCTGATATTCATTTATCTTTGCTCTAATCATGCAAGAGTTTATCTCTTTCAGAAATCAAATTTAACTTAAGTATGTGATCAATTTTATCCATGCTCCTTATTCTATGCAAGATTCTAATCAAGTCAAAAACTTCAATATGCTATGACATTGTTTATCTTTATAGTAGTTGGATACGCAGGTTGTATCTATTAATGGATTTAATTTGACAAAAAATCTAAGCATTATGATCTGTTCTTAAAGGATAACATTATTTATGGCAGAGCTTTGCTGAACTGCTGGGATTGGAGAATGTGTGATTAATAAAGCGTGGAAACCTAAAAGAGTCAAATATTTAATGAAATAAAGCTTAAACTGAGAGAAGATCGCATTAGAGAGGAGATTAAACATAGAACTGACGAAGAAAAATGTAGACTAGTTATTAAAAGAGTAATCACAATGATTCTAAGTTTTATTGTATTGGTTATTGGATGGGGGATTATCATTCTTCTATCTATCTACGAAAATGACATGCAAGACTATGTATCTTAATATAATAAATTCCTTGGAACATGGACTCCAACTGCACTAGTAACTGTGGTCAATTTTATAGTTCCTAAGATTCTGGGTATCATTACTGATTTTGAGGAATGGGAGTTTGCCTCAACCTAAATGAGACATGAAGTATGGAGATCATATTTAGCCGGTATCTTGAACAATTTGATATTTGCCGTCATTTATTCAGAGGTTTTTATTGACAAACCATTTTTAAGAGATACATTCATTGCAGATTTTTAATAAGCAAACAAAGGTAGTCTTAGATTTCCTTGCAGAGAGGATATGATAGCAGTATAATACATCAAGCTTGTAAGGAACTTTTTTAAAGTTTAATTACTATAGTTACTATCAGAAACTATTATAAGATACTTGTATTACGGATATTGGATAGCTCATCATAAAGTTGTTTCTCTATTTAAAGGAGATGATTGGAAAAAGCCATTTGAAACTGCAGATGTACTTATAATTCATTTATATTAGCAATATTTTTAGGAATTGGTGTGGCTTTTGAGTTATCAACAGATTATTTGGTTTAACTTTATTTTTTCTCCATTCACAGCTGTAATAGCACCTTTTCTTCTTTACTTGCATTTCAAATTTGTTTACCTTAGACTGACTAAGATGAAAATCTAACCAGAAGGCTCTTCAAATGATGATAAAATAGGTTACTTCATAATGGTGTTCATGAATATAACATTCCTGTGTATAGTTGTACTTATTGGATTTATGCTATTTTATCCCGCGCCCCATTACTATAATCTAAAAAAACCTAAGGAATTTTGTGGAGCTTTCGGTTCAGGTGAATATTGGTATGAAATCATTGAAGATGCTATAACTAAGGGAACTATTGGTGAGGTATTATTTGCCTACATCATTTCTAATAATATCTTGTTAAGTTTTCTATGTATTATTCTTAGTGCGCTTGCCTCAGTTTATTGGAAAAATATAATGATGCTTTTGAAATACATTGATGTTAAAACTAAGGAAGTTGAGTATAACATTGATGATTTGTAATATAAACTAAGGAGTCTTTAACAAAAGGATAAATTTTTCAGAGATAATAGAAAAATTGAGTGAACTTATAAGACTATTTTAATTATTATTTAATCAGCCAATCATAATACGAATTTTGTATTGCGGGGTTTTGGGGTTTTGGGGTTTTGGGG